TGTGCAAATGTAAGAAATTGCTCTGGGCAGCAAGTGGTAAATTTTCACTTTAAAGGTAATCTGTGTTTTGCCAATGCAGTGCAAAGCATAAGGTTCATTTAACCCCTTAAGGACAAAGGCCTTTTTTTCATTTGTTTTGCACCCATGTATAATCCACATTTTAGGCCTGAAAATTACTTAAAACCCCCAAACATTATATATTTTATGAAAGCCTGGACCCTGTAGAACAGCGGTTCTCAACCTGTGGGTCGGGACCCCCTCGGGGGTCGAATGACAATTTGCCAGGGGTCGCCGGGAGTCAGTGGCATAACAACGGGGGGCCGCCGGGTAGAGATAAGCGGGCTGGCCGGGAGGAGCACAATATTGAAACAGGCAGACCCGGCGGTAATCATGTAGTAAGTTGAGTGGACCGGGCTCCGGGCTTTTGCTGTGTCATTGTATGTGTGTGTGTGTGTGTGTGTGTGTCACTGTGTTTGTCAGTGTGTCATTGCATGTGTGTGTCATTGCATGTGTGTGTCATTGTATGTGTGTGTGTCACTGTGTTTGTCAGTGTGTCATTGAATGTGTGTGTGTCTGTCACAGTGTTTGTGTGTGTGTGTCTGTGAGCTTGTAAGCTTCATCAAGTCCTAGTGCCCAATTCATATGTTTCTGTGTCCTGTGCATTGTGTGACGTGTTGTATATCACTAATAGATATACTGTATATTGTATATAATAATCCAGGTCAATAAAAGAGAGAGAACTTTCCTGTGGAAGGTTTCTACACTGTCAGTACACAATTTGCAGGCATCACCGCCCTCCCCAATGGTGGATTTCCGGCACCTAATCCTGTCCACATACATTTTATTTAGGAATAATAACACTTTGATATGGAGGGGAAGTGTACAAGGACAATGAGGGCATGCTCGGACCTGTAGTTCCCAGGGTGATATGTGGTGTACAGGGATAATGAGGGCATGATGGGACTTGTAGTTGTACAGCCTCCGCATATCACCTAGGGAACTACAAGTTCCAGCATTCAGTGGCGTCACAAGGGGGTGCAGCCCGCACCCGGATGCCACCAGTGGAGGCGGTGACACCAATATGACTGAGTCATTTTGGTGTCACCCCCTCTAATAATAAATAATAATAAAAATAATAGTTTTTTTTTCTAAAAGAAAACATAAACCTTTTATTATCAATTATGGTTTGTCATTTTAGCTGTTACAGCAGCGGTTCTCAACCTGTGGGTCGCTGTGCGATTTCTGCTGTGCTAGTTGAGAGTCCTCCTCAGCCCTCATCTAGCGCAGCAGTGTCAGTTCTCCCGCCACGCCGCCAGATGTCGCTGCAGCAGCCGCGTCATCCCGAAATTTTACCTTTTGGGGGTCACCACAACTTGGCAAATGTTACCAAGGGGTCCCGGCCCTAGGAAGGTTGAGAACCACTGCTGTAGAATAAAATGGTGGCAGTTGCAAATTTGTTTGTTGCACAACATTAGCGCAACTTATCAAACCCAAAAATGTAGTGGAAAGAGTACTTAAGTTAAATTTAGTGCCCCAAAACACAATATAAAACCATTTTTTTTGTAAAATGTAAAAGATGAGGTTACTTAGATGCCTCATTACTCACCCTCGGCTTATATTCGGGTCAATACTTTTTCCCATTTTTTTTTGTAAAATTAGGTACCTCGGCTTATATTCGGGACGGCTTATACTCGAGTATATACGGTAAATAGATAACCAACATGCCCAGGTTAAAATTTGTGTTCTTCTGTGAAACTGCAATAGATTTCAGTACCCCAAAAAGTCTTTTTACTGTCGGGGGCTCTGGGGAAATATCAGGGGTCTAAAACAGACCCCTGATTTCCCTTTTGAAATAGAAAAAGAGATTGAGGACACAAGTCCTTAATCTCTTTTTCTGCAGCCTCTATCATGAATGAACAGGAAGCCTCTATACTGAGTGTTCTGGTCCATTCATAAACTGTGGATATAGTACGAGTTACTGGTGCACAATTATGAATGAACAGGAAGTGATGTAGATCACTTCCTGTTCATTCAAAATTGGGGACACAGTAAACATAATATGTCCTCAATTATTTACAAACACTCAGCGATCAGCGCTTGTACCTGCTCTCCATCCTGACTCACTGTCACAGAGGCTGAGAGGGCGGTGCAAGGAGTAGAGCTCGGTCTCTTGTGACACAGCTGACTCCTTCCTGCACCACCGGCTTGGCCACCTGTGTCTGCTAACCGCTGTCTCCTCCGCGCACCGCTCGGTCTCCTGAAAGTTTATCTCCTCCCTGCTGGATGCTGCCGTGCCAGACGGAACACGGAGCAGCGCTCAGCTAGGAGAGAAACTAGAGATGCACTGGATTTTCAGCCAAAATATTGTACTTTCAGCATTTTGCCCAAAGTACCATTTCAATCCAAAATGTTTCGGCAGCCAAAGGTTTGGTGCATCCCTAAAATATATCTTTATTAATAAGATATCACAGACACCTAAAAAATTAGCATGGAGTAGATGAAACACAGACTAGGGGCATTATTCACAAAGCTGCCGAAGGCAGCTCAGTGAATAGCCCAGCCGAAGTGAAGTGAGCCGAACAACGTTTGGCTATTCACTTCGGCTCAGTACGGCTGTGGCGAAGTGCAGAAGGACTTCGACTCAGCCGATCCAACATCTGGATCGGCTGAGCTGAAGCTCCAGCAGCTAATGCGCTGCCGTTCGCCCCTATTCACATATGGGCCGAACGGCAGTGAGTGAATAGCCGAATATTATACCACCTCCATGGTAATGAGCAGAATAGAAAATAGTGGAAAAAGCCGCAATATTTTAAAGCCGCACTGCCTTGTCAAGGACCCTCTGTGTAGTGCGGTCCTAACACTAACCTATGACAGTCTCCATCTTGGAGCACATGTAGCAAAACATAAACTGGTTGCGAGGCAGTGCGGCTTTCACATATTCTGCAGAAGACATGTATCTAAAACTTCTGTTTTTAACCCTTTTTTTTTGCATGCTGGCTGGTGAGTGTGCTGGGAAACGTTTTGCTGTTGTACTGTTTAAAGACCTTCCATGTGCACCTTGCTTTAAAGCTGGTTATGAGTTGATGAGTGTGGTTGCCATTTGTTTTGCTTGTCTGATTTGGTGCAGTGACGCATGGGGGGTCTGAGCTGCCGTTGTGATGTGCGGTGTCCCTTGTGTGTCCCTGTGCCTTTAACCACTTGAAGTCTGCAGTGTTAAACCCCCTTCCTGTCCAGGCCATTTTTCAGTATTCAGCACTGGGGTACTTTGACTGACTTTCTTTCCGTCATGCAACGCTATACTGAAATGCATTTTTTACAATTTTTGGGGACACATTCAACCACAGGAACTAAACTTACTGTACCTTATATATATATTGAAGCATTCAGTGAATATTATAAGAGTCTTTATAATCTACCTTGGGGGAAATCCTCAACGAGCCCTGCTATTCATACCACTCGGATTAGAGAGGATCTGCAACATGCATATCTTCCGTCTTTAAGTCCACTGATCAGTGCTCACTTAGAGTCCCCTATATCTGTCCAAGAATTGGGGACTGCAATTAAATTTACTCAAACAGGTAAGGCACCAGGCCCAGATGGGTTTACTCTTCTATATTATAGACAATATTTATAGTAAATATTGTCTCCTTTTCTTACTAATAATAATTCTTTACGTGAGGGTTGTTCCATGCCCCCGGGATCAATAATGGCTCATATTACAGTTATTCCTAAAGAAGAAAAGGATCCCTCCCTATGCCCTAGCTATAGACCTATTTCCCTGTTGAACGTTGATATTAAACTTTTTGCCAAGATATTGTACCTTCGACTGGCACCCCATCTGGGTGATCTCATTTACTTAGATCAGGTAGGTTTTGTCCCTACAAGAGAAGCTAGGGACAACACTACCAAAGCGTTAGATGCTGTTCAATATGCCCTGTCGAAAGATGCTCCATGCATTATTCTATCTACAGATGCCAAAAAGGCGTTTAACATGGTAGACTGGAAATCAGACCAAGAAATGGAACAATCGTACTCTGTAGCTCCGTTATCTGGTGTTCCATGGTGCTATGTTTCTGCCTTAATTCCGAAGGAGATTAAAAATCATCCAACTATAATGCCTACTACAGCGGTAGCTAAAATTGTTTTCTTACAAGGAGCAGTCCCCTCAAATTCTTATTTTAGGGAATCTTGCTTTTTTTACTGGGGCTCTGGCATGGGGTACTTAGTCCGCCCCCCCTTCATGTCCATTAAAAGGACTCATTCATTTTAACTTATGGAGTGCTGGTGACCTATTTTCTTCGGAACTCATAAGCAGACATGTTGCATGTATTTTGGTCTTGTTTAGTATTGCAGAAGTTTTGGGACCAGGTTCAGGCGATGACCCAAACATTCTGTGAGTCTCCAATTGCAAGAGACCCAGCTGTTTTTTTACTCCAACACAATTTAATTTCAATTATAGCTTATAAATACTCAGTTGTGAGGCACTTGGTTAATTCTGCACGTGCCTGTATCCCAGCCTTGTAGAAGAGACCTGAACCACCTAATATATATCAATGGTTAGATCGCATTTAGGAAATTTACCTTATGGAAGACCTTACGAGCTCTATTAAATACACCTCCTATAGTTTCCGGAAAACTTGCTTTCATTGGAGGGAGTTTATAAATTCAGCTGAGTATCTGACAATAAGACGAGACTCAGGATAGTGACTATTGGAGGAAAGAGGGACTTATAATTTTTTGTTTGTTTGTTCGAGTCCTTGTCCTGTTTTATGCAGCTTAATCAGTCTACATTTTTATCGGGTTGGGCCTGAGAGGCCCATTCATGTCTTAATTTATTTGTGTAAAGATAATGATCTGTAAATGTTTCTTCTTACATTTTATATTGTATGTTTCAAAAAATATAAATAAGGAATTTATTAAAAAATAAATTAAAAAAATAGGGCACTTATTTCTTCATTTAAACTGTATTGCACAGTCCATTTTTTTATGACACACCTAGTTCATGAGGAAGAGGCAGTGTCATTTGAATGTATAGCATTCAGCTTATTTTCCTCAATAGGCACTGGAAATCTGTCTATATTTCCCTCCTCCTTGTGTATTGGCAGCTTGTCTGCAGGCTCTGGCAGCGGGGGCTGGTAGCGATACTGGTATCCATATGCTCTCAAGTGGTAGGCAAAGTACTCCAGAGTATGCATAAGTTGAGGATCAACATAGTGAAATGATATAGCCAGATCTGAGCAGCACTGGGGACCCTGCAGAGGAGATAAATAGATAACATTTATATAACAATAATGAACTAAATATATTACACATAATATGGTAACATTAGCAAAACACTATTAACTGCTATTAACACTCTTCCATACCCAGCAGACTTTCTGATTGACACCATGATTATTTTCAGATCACTTGAATTTAATGGACCATCTAAGGAGGTTGCATAGCATCAAGAGCGTGAAGGGCTTTAGCTTTACTTGAGTAGAAGATAACCCTCCTTGTAAAGGTGCCCATACACTGCTCGATTCTCGTACGAGAATCGCGGGAAATCCCGCGATCGTACGAGAATCGAGCAGTGTGAACGGAGACGTGCGACCGTTTCTACTGTACGGTCGCACGTCTTCCGTCGAACCAGCATGTTCGAAAACCAGCCGGGAATCGCACGATTCTTGGCTGGTTAGAACGGTGCTCGGAAGACAAATGCCGAACGGGCCGGTGTGCGCACGCTCACACTGCCCGTTCAGCATTGCGGTCATCGGAAGCCCGCCCCTCAGGGGAACGGGCTTGCGATGATCTAGAGTGCGATCTGCCTGTCCAAGATAGGCAGATCTAAGGTCTTGCGATGGTTGTAGAGTGTATGGCCACCTTAAGGCTGGGATCCAAGATTCCACGGAGACACAAGGATCAATATGACTAACCTAGGCTTCCACAAGGTGTTTTCAGTTAAGCAATAATGTTACATTAGAGGCCAGGGCAGGTTTACTGGCTCAGGCCAGGGAAGGTTTACTTTAACAAAAGGAGGGACTAAAGCCATTCTCCCTTTAGCTTTATTATTGCTGAATTTTTAAAAAAAAGTTATTGTTCATATGTACATTTTGTTTTGGGGTTTTCATTCTCTCCATACATTAAAAAAATAGGCAAGTTTAAATTTCCACATAACTTTGCCATCCTTTCTACCAGAAACATAATATTAGTGTTATTATAAATGGAACACATTCATGAATAAAATGTACACTTTTGCAAAGTGTACAAGGAAACTAAGCAGGTATAACCTTCCCCTGTTCCCAGATAGAAAAACATTTGCTTATCATAATGTTAATGAAAACCTGGCTCTGTTTTTCCATGCTTATTTGGCCTAAACCACAGTTTGAATTTTGCCAATTAAGTCATACTCATGTTCTACCACAGCATGCTATGTACGCCACAATGCCCCACTCCTCTTCTTTCCCTTCTAATTGGTAGCAATCCTATATGACAACCTATACCAGCATAATTAACCACTCTTAGTTGGGACCTTACACCGATGTCTTTCTCACGTCAATGGTAAATCCAGTCCAGCTACACAACCAAACGACTTTGATCAGCTTCATAGGTTCATATAATAGAAAGGATGCAGTGTATTTAAAGGATTCCTTTATGTAACACTAAACTCAAGAGTTAAATCTTAAAAATGCATTCAAGAACCTTAACTATTAGCAAAAATTTAGCTTATTTGTGCATCACTCGGCTATAGATCCTCAAATCATCTCTGACGTCATGCTGACACAGTCCTTCCTTCCAAGCTTGCTCCTGTGATAGACTATACCTTCAACACAAATTAGTTAACAAAAGCGTGAGATTGTAGTCCATCACAGGAGTAAGCTTGAAGCGGTAGCTACTTCGCAACACACACAGGGACCATAGGGAAGAAAAGCAGCCACCCTGCAGAAGGAAGGACAGTGTCAGCATGAATTTAGAGATGATGTGAGGGTCTACAGCCGAGTGATACACAAATAACATACATTTTTGTTAATGGTTAAGGTTTTTTTAAGGTTTAAAGTGTCACTGTAAACAAAGATCCAGCAAAATTGCCTATACGCCTTACCTCCACAATAGGGTATAAGCTGTAACTCCAATACCAAAATCTCTTATCATATTGATCTGTAAGGTGTGACTCAGGTGTAAATGGGTGGAATGTTTCTCTTTGTACAGTGTCCCTGGAGTCTCCAGCTATAACACCCATTTTCTCCATACATTGGCCCAGTGCCAAGTCCTCCACGGATGTGGTGTGCTTGCATGTCCCATTATGGAAACCTTCCACAAAGCGTTTCAGAGCCTCCTTACTAAGTACATATCCAGCTCCACCACTCATGTACCCCTGCTTGGCAAATGGTTTAAATCGCTTCCCAAAGTAGATGGGCTGGTCAGATGTAAAATTTGAAAGCATCCAACGTAAGTTCTCCACCACAACATAGGTATCATCGTCTGCTTTTAGGAACCAGTCAGCTTTCTCCAGGTAGTTATTATGCACATACTGGAATGCTTTGATGGTCTTCCAGTACAGTTGATCTCTCCCTTCTTTGGTGTCCAATCCCACTGTTGGGAAGCTATTGTTGGTGACCGAACTCATAAATAGGATAACATTGCAGTGGCGTGTCCAAGAGTACTTCACATGAATGGCTTTGGTGTCCAAATTATTTGGTCCAGTCATAATCCAGCAAAGTATTCTGACCTTTTGTGAAAGTACATCACTTACTTCACTTTTATCTAAAAAAATAAATAAAAAAAAATCACATACGTGAATATATTAATCTATTTAGAAGACATGAGATGACTGTCACTCTATATAGATGGTTACAATATATCTGAGGGCACTCCTTGACCTCTCCACACATCCCTTGGCTGATCATTGTCAGGAAAAGAACTGAATAGTCAGTGTGAGTTGCTAAACGCTTTACAAGGATGTCCTACTTGCTCCTACTCTTAACCATAGACAAACACATACCTTTTATTAGACATTGGTATTGCCATTATCAGTGCTGATTTGTAAAATATGATTGTCCAGGCCGTGGTGGTGGGGTGGGGCCAGGTTGGTCACCTGGCTTTTGGGTAATGTCCCCCACTTTGTGAATGGACAGTGGTTGGTAAACGGTAATTTGGTTGGTGTAAGTAATTGCTGCTTGAGTCTTGGTGACTAAGCATGGTGATCTGTTAGTGGTTAACAGTGGTTTTGTTTGGTAATAAAGGTTAAAGTCTATTTATTGGTTAAATTGATTAAAACCCAATAAAGGGGCCGCGACCTATAGTTTTTTCCACAATCACTGTTGTGTTTTACTTTTATTATTTGGGTTTATGGTTATGGTATGATGGGTGTCAATGGGGTGTACAGTCCCATGCACTCTGCCTTATTTACTCATGACCTCTGCTATTGTATTGCTGAGAATTGTAGTCCTCTATAGCGGATGGTATTCTGCATTATTGAGTGTGTGATGTGTGTGTTTTAATGCGTTGTGATGTGTGTGTCTAAAAGAAATCATTAGTATTCAGGTCTACTTGCAGGGTTGGCATTTTGAGATACATTTTAGTGATCCAGTTTGGGCACTCTGGCTCAAACAGGTTAGCCATGACTGATGTAGGACAACATAGCTGAATGGGAAAGTGAAATTAATTGGTTAGTGAGAGACTAGCATTAAACATATGGCAAGATTGGCAGAAATTCTTAAATTAAAGTCTTAGGGCCGTTTCACACCTCAAACTCCGCGTTCCAGTGCGTTCGGCCTCGATGTTCTGATGAAGGGGGCGTGCCCCGGAAACGCGTTAACGTCACCACTATACTGGTATCACCTAGTGGACATCTCACTGCTTGTCAGTCCTCACCTCATGACTTTGTGACACTCATGTTTGTGAGTATGATTCGGTTTTCTATTTATGTTTATTGAAATAAAAGTGATCTGCACCAGGAAAGGCGCCCCTCTTTGTGCTTATGCACTGGAACAGAAGCCGCCCGGCTCTCTGCATTCAGGGGCGGGAGGGGGCATGGTGGTGCATTTAAGTCAATGGCACCACAGCCTCGCCCTCCACCCACAGTGCGATCGCCCGCAACCGGAACGCAGACATATTAGTGCCTGCGTTCCTGTCCAGTGCGATCTGCAAAAATAGTGCTCGCAGTATTTTTGCAGATCGCACTGGACCGGAACGCAAGCACTAATGTGCCTGCGTTCCGGGATCAAACAATCGTACTACAGGCCATTGACTTCAATGCACCTCCACGCCCCCTCCCACCCCTGAACGCAGGGAGCCGGCCGGCTTGCGTTCCAGTGTGTTCCAGAAGCCGAACGCGGAGTTTATGGTGTGAACCGGCCCTAAAATATACCATAAATGTTTTGTGCACTGTGCTAGGAAGGAACATGCTGACAGGAGGTGACAGCAGAATGATGAGCTCATCATTGTGCAGCTGCTCCTTCATTATCCAATCACATGCTGGGAGTTGACCAATCTGTATTTCTTAACTGTAAAAAAGAACAGCGTGGTCACCATTCTGGCTGTGGTGTATGGCAGAACTGTGTAAATGTCAGAACTGGCTGGACAAAATTACAAACTATATTGCAAATAAAACAGCTCCCATATTTGTATTTCAGCTATGTATTTATAGGTTTATGGAGAGTTAAATTGAAAATGTAACACCCCTGCAGGGAAATATTTGTTCCTGATAATAAACACATACATTTCTTTCAATGAACTGTACTTTGTTTTGTTTTTCAGAAGAGGGTGTTTTGCATAATGAACAACTAGGATACTGTGAATTCAATGACAGACCTGTTAGGGAAATACTAATGTTTTGCTCTACCCTTTTGAGCTTAAAAACATTGTTTTCCAAGAATAAGTGATATTTGGGACAATGGGTTCCCCTTTGTCCTCTTTTATCAGACAATTTACCTGAACTTCAGCCCTAAAATTTATTTCAATAGCACTCCTGCTTGTAAAAAAAAATGCCATGGTGGTGTCCTACCATATGTATATCGCTTGAATGGTATAGCCCAGGGTTGCCAAACTTCGGCCCTCCAGCTGCTGTGGAACTACAAGGCCCATAAGGCATAGCAAAGTCTCTAACAACCACAGACATGACGTTCAGAGGCAGATGCATAATGTGGTTTGTAGTTGCACCACAGCTGGAGGGCCGAAGTTTAGCTATACCTGGTATAGCTTCATTATTTGGGACATGCCAGTTAAATCCCCTGTCTGTCTTCAAAAGATACTGGCAATTAGTCATTAATAATAACAATGAGGGGAAAAAACAAAGTTGTATGATTTCTCTTAATTCTTTAGTTTACCTAAAAGGTGAGTATGGGGAAACTCATCAAGTGACCGTAGCTTCTCCATATATCTCCAGGACTGAATGGCTAGTGGTGGCTTTGTTCTCGAACTCTGAAGGATGGTGTGAAAAACAAGAAATGTTGTAAAGAAGCCCACCAAGATGCCAAGAGTCAATGCAATCCATGAAAACTTGCCAAAGAAGAATGCCATGGCTGTAAAGACAAGTATAAAACTTTGAATAAAATAATCAATTCAATGTTATACATGATATAAAAGATATCAACGAACAAAACTTGCCACCTTTAATTACAGTATAACTTCACCTAAATTGATTCATTTAGTTTTGGATGAAGCTTGATTATGGTACCTCGTGTGCAGATACAGTTTAAGTATATCTGAAGCCCTTTTTTTTTTGTTTTGAATAGAGTAGGGAATGGATAACATTTATTTGGGTCTTTCTGATGTCTACCCCCCATTGGGGAGATTTTCCCTTACTTCCTGTAATGGATTTACAACAGGAAGGGAGATAAAATTCATCCAAAGTGAGGGGAAATCTTTTCTTAGAGAGTTGCCAGAACAGGTATCCTAATTAAAGGATTTCCCCCGTGTTCCACTATTAATTGTTGGATTCCCTTTATATTTATTTATTTTTTATATTACTTATTACATGTATTTATATTAGGGCTGCAGCGAACTATTATTTTCATAATCGATTAGTTGCCCGATTATATTTTCAACTAATCGATTGGATGCATTAAAAAAATCTCTCTTTCTCTCCTCCCCCCCAACCAACTAACCGATAATGAGAATAGTTTCCAAATATTCTCATAAAGGATTATCGATTCAATTGATTAGATGTTGCAGCCCTAATGTATATAGCACCAACAATTAATGCAGTGCTTTACATACTGTACATTCACATTATTTTGTTTAACTTTTTGGTCCAGTTGTAACCGAGGCAAATGTTTCATGGGGGCCAGTAACTCAAAAAATATTTAATCCGCTGAACATGAAAGCCAAGCAACAAGCATTTTTTAGAAGGAAAGTGGTGGATTTTTCTCTTAGCATACGTTTCCTTGAAAGAAGCTTTTACAGAATCTGACAATATCTGGGATTACCACTAGGTGGTGCACAAGTTCAATACTTTCATGAAGAAACAAAACTAAAGAACTCCACTAAGCATGATGGGGGTGAACGCAGCAGCACTCCATTTCTAAATGTTGCAACATGAGAATCTGTGTAATCATTTGCAGTTCATATTCTTTTAAATAAAACTACTAAAATTCCCAGGCTTGGCAATTCAATGGAAAATGATCATGTATATTAGTGGAAGCTATAGACCTACAAAGGAAAATGGTTTAAAGGAATGGTGCAAAAAAAAACAAATTTGTTTTGTCCCTTCTACCCTTTCTAACTCCAGTCACCCTAATACCTAATGCTTTGACAATGGACGGTCACCACCTTTATCACCCTATCTCCTGGGGCCTTCTCGACCCACGCTTTGCACTGGTGTATATGCCTTAGGGCTTTGCACACTGTCATTAAATGACTACTGTTTGTATTGTTTATTACCTTTTTGGCTCTATTGGTTTACATACAATTGATTCTACCTTGTTTCCTTGATAAAAGTTTCCTTAATAAACCTTTTTGTTATATTACTTTATTTACTTCATTATTATAATACACTGTATTTGAACAAACATCTATTGAACAAACAAAAAAAAAAACATCCAAAAAAAGAAAGGAATAATGCATAAGACATAAGCGTGGCCTCTAATGATAAGTAGTATGGATAGCAGAAATATTATGCAGCACTACAAGGTCCATATAAGCATGCAAGAAAATCAAGCATTGAAGCACAGAAGATCCACCGAAGAGTATAACCAAGCAGTTTATATTGAGACCAGATCACGATTATGCACATATACAGTATACTGTAACTTATTTTTTAAGGTGTCATAAACCGAAGACATCACAGATTATTTAACTCTCACATCACCTGTTAACACCTGACAATACCACTTGAAGCCACATAGCTTCGACACATGGAAATGAAATTGTGTATTCTGTAGTCATGATTGTAACTCCATAAAAAAGCCCATTCAAGAAGAACAGAGGAGAAAGTCTATATAACTCAGCATCTCAGCTCCTATTAAAGTTATTGCAAGTAGTCCAGATGTCAGCATCATCATAAAATGTGTGTACATACAGTATATTGGCCGTGAAAGCATTCTTGCCATTCCAGCTATGGTTGATACAGAGTCAATACAGAGTCAGATGAACTCCTGGCTTCTGGGGTATATAACTCCCCAGGACAGTACATTACTTTCGTGGAGTCATGCCATTTCTTTCAGCATGTACAGATCCCACTGCAGCCCTGACTGTTATACCACTGGTTGAATGAGTGCTGAATTGACTCTGTAGTTGATGTTGCATACATCCAAGAGATAAAAGTATGTCACCAGCACACCAAGAATCTTTGTCCAAAACACTTTTATTAATATTGACGGAGATCCATGGTGTGCTGGTGACCTACTTGTGTCTCTCGGATGCCCTCCAGCAAGTCTCAACAGCAGGTCAGCGATAATGTTAACAGTCCTGACATTTTGGTCTCCAAAAACAGCCTTACAAGACATTAATAACAGGCCTGACATAAATTCAGACATTTGGCAAACTGAAGATACAAGTTTTTGTGGTCAGTTTAATAGCCTGAAGTTCTCAATTCCCCAAATCATAATTAATTTCAGCAGGAGAAAAAAATGCAACTGGGTGGATCTTGCCTGATATTGGGTGCCTTTGAGATAGCACAGCCCCAGCCCCCACTTCCGAAGGCATCAACCTCAACAATGTACTGAAGATCAGATTTAGGAACTTGGAGAATCGGAGCTGCACTAACATCTCTTTTCATCATTGGAATGCAGACACTGCTTCAGAGAACCATACTCTACAGTTTGCACCTTACTTGGTCATAGCAGTAAGGGGAGAAGCTATGGTGGCAAACAAGGCTGTAGCTACCATGGGGCGAGTGAGGCACTCGCCTCAGGCGCAGCTGAGAGGAGGTGCAGCCAGGGCTGGCCTGGCTGTTCCCCATTGCCCCTGTTGCCATTCGAGTACAGGGCGCCATTGGCAACAGGGGAACCAGGAGGCCAACACAACCGCGGCTCGGCAGGGAGAAGAGGAGCGGCACAGGCTCCAGCTTCTCCTCAGATCCCCACTGCTCTCCCCCACCTGTATGGGCAGAGGACTCTGTGTCCTCAATCTCTTTTTCTTTTTCAAAAGGGAAATGTCAGGGATCTGTTTAGACCCCCAATATTTCCCCAAAGCCCCCCAACAGTAAAAAAATTATAATAATATAAAAAAATAAAAACAACCCCCTACACACTCACGCACACTGACACACACGCACACTCACACTCATGCACACATATTACTAGACATGTGCAAAGACTTTAAATTAGTTTTGGACTAAATGAAACGAAACTAAAAATGTTTTCATTAGTTTCTTCAAACTAAACACATTTTTATGCTATTTTGGATTTGGCGACCAGCGCATTCTGCACATGCGCGCCTCCATCCTGGAGGCGGGGCGCATGAAGTCACATACCGCACACATCTGTTGGTGGGGGGCACAATTTTCTGTTCTTGCCTCGGGCGCAAAAGGAGCTAGCTACGGCTCTGGTGGCAAACCCTTAAACCAAGCGTCTGTAATAATTAGCAAACACCAAAAATCTTTGGATCCCTCTTAAGGTGTTTGGTTGGGGCCAATGAAGATCCATATCCAGACCTTTTGTGGATACATATGGAAACCTTCAGGGCTTATGATGTACCCTACGAAGGGTATTTGACTTTGATGAAAAGCGCACTTGTCTATTTTAGCATATAGGTGGTTTTCACGCAAGCGCTGTAACACCTGCCTCATATAAGATATGTATTCCTGGTAAGTTTTTGAAAAGATTAGGATGTAATTTAGGTATATAATGACAAACTTGTTCCTGAAATCTTGGAACACTTCATCCATAAAACGTTGGAAAACAGCAGGGGCGTTGCAGAGTCCAAATGGCAGGACTTGATACTCACAGTGCCCATAATGAGTATTAAAAGCTGTCTTCAACTGTTCTTCTTTTATACAAATCAGATAATATGCCCCTCGTAAGTCCAACTTTGTGAAGATAGTAGCTCCTTTTAGGACTTCGAATAACTCCAGCATGAGAGGCAAAGGGTAAGAATCTTTCACTGTTATTTGGTTTAGACCCTGATAATCGATACATGGTCTAAGACCTCCATCTTTCTTTCCAACAAAGAAAAAAACCTGCCCCTACTGCTGAAGAAGAAGGGTGAATAAAACCTCTTTTTAAACTGTCCTGTATAATATTTCTCCAAAGACTTCTGCTCTGGCTGTGAGAGTGGATACGTCTTCCCTTTGGGAAGGGGTGCCCCAGGAACCAGATTGATAGCACAGTCAAAGAAGTGGTATGGAGGCAGAACTTCTGCTTTCTTCTTGCTAAGCACATCAGCGAACTGATGGTATTCATGTGGCAAAGGAGATGGTATCTCTCCAGAAGCTAAAAGGCCAAATTGTAGTCTTTTGGGGTGGAGTATACAGTTCGACTGACAAGAAGACCCCAGGAAGTTAATTCTCCAGTAACCCAGTCAAAAGAGGGGTTATGTTGTTGCAGCCAGGGGTATCCAAGTATAACAGGCATGAAAGGAGAGTCTATAAGGGACAAGGTAATCTCTTCCTTGTGGCATGCATCGATTTGTAGGATGACTGGTTTAGTTTCAAATTCCACAATGCCTTTTCCTAAAGGCTGACCACATAGCGTAGTGACACATAGGGGTTTCAGCTTAGAAACTAAAGGAAAGTTGGGCTTTTTTAGCAAAACTGTAATCCATGAATATGCCAGCAACTCCAGAGGCCACAAAAGCTTCACAGTATTCTGAGTGTGACATTACATGGAATATTGCAGGCATTGTCAACTTGGTTTTGGAGGAATGACTAACGAGGTCTAAGATGGCTCCCCCAACCCGGGTTAAACCCTCCCTTTTACTGGACGGGAAGGGCAAGAATGTCAGGCAGCCTGCATTGGCCTAATTAACCTAACCACACACCTCCTGCTCTGGGATTGGCCTTGTTGCTGGTGGCGCCCTATTTAAGCATCATCAGCCTGTTTCCCAGTGCTTGTGATAGTTCTTGCTATACAAGCTGTGCTCT